CCCCCCTCAGCCAGGGACACTCAGCCCCATGGAGCCAGTGTGGGGTGTGGGAGGGGGGGCAGCTCTAAAAAGCCTCAAGCAACTGAGGGGTTGCAGCATGTCCCAGGGCTCAGTGGGGTGCTGATGGTTTTGGGGTGATTCCTGATTTCCCTCCCCCCAACAGTGAGAAAATAAGGCCAAGGGGAGCGATAGGGGGAGGAAGAGGAGGAGGAGGAGGATGGGGACACCCATGGCCCCTGTGCCAGGGAGGGAGGATGCAGACCCCCATGGCTGGATCCTATGGGGTCTGCCTTGTTTTGGGGTGCAGGAGGGATGGCCTGCTCTCGGGGCGGAGGTGATGGAAGAGGAGGGTGTGCCTGGGGCGGGAGGAAGGCCGAGTCTTGCTCTGAGGAGGGTGGCTCTGGCTCTGCTGAAACCACTGGAGCCACCTGCCTGGATTGGGACCCACGGTGCTGAGCTGGAGGGGGGGACACACACAGGTCTGGGGGGTGACACGGGACCTGTGTCCTGGGGGATTGACCTACCTCCCCCACGGAGGGCGGCAAACGGGTGTCCCCAGGGCTGGCTCAAGGTATCACCCCAAAATGTCCCCAAATACCCCAAAATGTCCCCAAATACCCCAAATACCCCCACGGGAGGTTGGGGTGCAGCCGGGTCTCCCTCCCGCTGCGGCGGCGGTGGGAAGGGTTAAGGGCCGTGGTGTTACACAAGCGCGTGGGGCCACGGGCAGAAAGTGTGTCAGTGGGACAGGATGGCTCCAGCCACGGGGCCACCACGCGCAGCCACCGCACCGGGGGCAACCACCGCCGGCACGGCCGAGCCCCGTGGTGGCCGGACGGTGCCACGGTGCCACTTACATAAAGGGTGGCATCGGGCCGGGAGTTGGGCAAGAAATATTTACAGTGGGAGGAGAGCAAATACCGCAGCCGGGACATTTTAATTGCCGGCTGGAGATTATTATTTAATTTTTAACCCCTTTGTTGTTTGTTTTGGTTTTTTTTTTCCTGCCCTGCTGGGCACAAGGGGGGAGTTTCCTTTTCTGCCCACCCCCCCGGCATCTAAATAACCCCCATTTTGCACAGCGTGGCTGACGCTCGCAGGGTTGTGGTGGGAGGAGGAGCCCAACACCCTGCTGGGGAAACTGAGGCAGGGCAGGGGGTGTGGGGTCTGCTGGGATGTTCCCCCTCATCACGGTGGGGTTTGGGGGATGTGGGGTGCTCCTGTGGCCACCCCACCAGCACCCACACCCCTCCCCATCCCGCTGGGTTTGCCCCAGGGGGGGTGTCCGGCCCTGGGGAGACATGGCCGCAGCACGAGGGGACACACGAGGGGACGCCGAAGGAGCTGGCACCATGATTCAGTTGGGGCTTACCAACAGAGCGGCAATTAACCGCTGTCCCGGGCTGTAATTGCCGTCGTGCCGGGGTTACGGCCGTATCTCCACGTCAGTTATTTGGGGCGAACGTTTTACGAGCGGGTCAGGTGCCAGCGGCGGGCACGGCCGTGTAATTAGCAGGATAGCAATTAGACCTCCAAGAGGAGATCTGTGGGTGAGCGGTCAGGTCTTCTCCTCTGCAGCACCCGGGGGTGACGGCTGGCTCTGGAGGAGCCGGGAGAGCATCGTCCCCGATGTCCCCTCAGCTCTGCCCACACCGGCTTGGGGGGGCTCTGGGGGGCTCCCCCCTGCCTGGGCCGGGGGGCGCAGGGGCAGGGTTTGGCCGTTGGCATCAGACGAAGCCATGGCCATGGCTGGGGGCTGGGGAATGGTCATCGTCCCCGATGTCCCCTCAGCTCTGCCCACACCGGCTTGGGGGGGCTCTGGGGGGCTCCCCCCTGCCTGGGCCGGGGGGTGCAGGGGCAGGGTTTGGCCGTTGGCATCAGACGAAGCCATGGCCATGGCTGGGGGCTGGGGAATGGTCCCTGTGGTGGGGGCACCCCCAGGCTCTGCCCGGTGGGTGCTCTCGGCGGGGCCGTGGGGTGCCGGTAATTGCGGGGCAGCGGGAGTATCGGCCGCGGGCGTGAGGGCGCGACGGCGATGCATCACCCGGCGGCTGCAATTAACCTTGCGTAACGAACCGACGCTGCTTCCTGCTGAGGGTGGCACCACCTCCCTGTGTCCACCCCCCCGTGGTGCCACCACCTCCATCCCACCCCCGGGACAGGGCATCGGGGCAGGGAGGGGACCCCACGGTTTGGGGGTTCTCACCCCTCTCTGGCAGCACGGGCGAAGGTGCCGGGGAATTGGGGGGGTCTCTGGCATCGGTGAGATGGGGGTGGCCACGTGTCACCCTGCCCGTGCCTCCATCTCCCCACCAGAGGGGTGACCCTGGGGCTGGGATGCCAGTGCACTTGGGGGGGCTGGCACTGGCGGGGCTGTGAGGATGCCCTGCCCGCTCCCTGCCCACACTGGGGGGGTCAGCGCTGCTGCCCCAGGCCCAAATCTACGGCAGAGACTTTGGGGAGAGGCAGGGGTGGGATGTGACCCCTCTGGGTCAGTGTGGGGACAACAGACAGCCCTGGGAGGAGGCTGGCTTGGCAGCCTTGGGAAGGAAGGCTGAACCTCCAAAATCCACCCCCCCGCCCCACCCCGGTGCGTTTGGGGCAGGAGCTGAGCGGGGAGTCAAGGGATGGGGGAGGGATCCGTCCCTCTGCCTGCACCCGGATGTGGGGGGAGTCCTGCCCCCATATGTTTGGGAACAAACCTGCCCTGGGCGGGTGGGGGACAGCGGCATCCTTGGGGGAGTGATGGCAGCCCCAGGGTCCGATGGCAGCCCCACCCCCCGCCCCACCCCGGTGCGTTTGGGGCAGGAGCTGAGCGGGGAGTCAAGGGATGGGGGAGGGATCCGTCCCTCTGCCTGCACCCGGATGTGGGGGGAGTCCTGCCCCCATATGTTTGGGAACAAACCTGCCCTGGGCGGGTGGGGGACAGCGGCATCCTTGGGGGACTGATGGCAGCCCCAGGGTCCGATGGCAGCCCCAGGGAACCAACAGCATCCTTGGGGGACCAACGGGAGATCCAGAGTCCAATGGCAGTCCCAGGAAGGGGACCGATAGCATCCCTGGGGGACCAAAGAGAGACCCAGGGTCCGATGGCAGCCCCAGGGTGTGATGGCAGCCCCAGGAAGGGGACCGATGGCATCCCTGGGGGACCAATGGCAGACCCAGGGGACCAACAGCATCCTTGGGGGACCAAAGAGAGACCCAGGGTCTGATGGCAGCCCCAGGAAGGGGACCGATGGCAGACCCAGAGGACCAACAGCATCCTCAGGGGACCAAAGGGAGACCCAAGGTCCGATGGCAGCCTCAGGAAGGGGACCAATGGCATCCCTGGGGACTGATGGCAGAACCAGAGGACCAACAGGATCCTTGGGGGACCAAAGGGAGATCCAGAGTCCGATGGCAGCCCCAGGAAGGGGACCGATGGCATCCCTGGGGGACCAATGGCAGACCCAGGGGACCAACAACATCCTTGAGGGGGAGTCCTGCCCCCATATGTTTGGGAACAAACCTGCCCTGGGTGGTTGGGGGGACAGCAGCATCCTTGGGGGAGTGATGGCAGCCCCAGGGTCCGATGGCAGCCCCAGGGAACCAACAGCATCCTTGGGGGACCAAAGAGAGACCCAGGGTCCAATGGCAGCCCCAGGAAGGGGACCGATGGCATCCCTGGGGGACCAATGGCAGACCCAGGGGACCAACAACATCCTTGAGGGACCAAAGGGAGACCCAGGGGACCAACAGCATCCTTAGGGGACCAAAGAGAGACCCAGGGTCCAATGGCAGTCCCAGGAAGGGGACCGATAGCATCCCTGGGGCACCGATGGCTGCCCCGCTGCACAGTGAGGCTCACACTGGAAGGGGACCGATAGCATCCCTGGGGGACCAATAGCATCCCTGGGGGACTGATGGCTGCCCCGCTGCACAGTGGGGCTCACACTGACCCAGCCTCCCCCAAAGCAGCGAGGGACCCCAGGGCATCGCCGGGTGTCGGGGTGCGGACAGCGCTGGCTGAGCATCGGCATTGTCACCCAGGGAGGTGGCCCTGGCCAGCAGCGATGCACAAAACACATCCCTCGACCAGAACCTGGTCGCTCCCCGGGGAGAAGGGAGGCAGAAGGGAATTACTGGAGCCGGGGATTTGCACAGGCCCAGGAGATTTGAAATAACCATAATCTGGCCGCGGGGGTTATTTTGGCGCGGCGGCGGCTGCCCAGCACCCTCATGAGCAGCGCCAGGCTGAGCCCGGCCGGGGGGCTGGAGCGGGGATTAGAGGGTGCAGAGATGCCGGGAGGCACGTACGAGTCCCGGGGGGTGCCCCCGCTCCCCCCTCCCGGCGCACGCGGGGCGAGCAGAGCCAGCCCAGATCTGGGGCAGCTGGAAAATGAGGAGGACGAAGCCTATTAGCAGCTCAGTGCCAGCAAAGCAGAAGAGGGGAGGGAAGCGGATTTACCGGGGGGGAAGGGGGCCGGGACCTTGAGCCAGCGGTGGCTATATCGGTCCTGGGTTTCCTAAGGAGCTGCTGGGAGGGAGGGGGGTGGAATCGAGGGGCCCCCAGACCCTCTGCTTGGACCAGACCCCCGGCACAGAATCTCTGTGCCAAGGATGTCCCTGTCTGTGGTGCCCCCCAATACGCACACACTGGCTGAAAAATAAGGGGGACGCTTCCACGAGGGTGTCCAGGGTGGGTGGGTGCACAAACGCGCTGCCCACACCTGGCACAAAGGGCTTTTCTACCCATCTCTGGGCGCTGGAGAGGATGGGGGGGGCAGATGGGGGGTACCCCACACCCTGCGTGGGCCCTTTTTGGGGGGCACAATCATCCCCGTGGGGTCTGTGGGAAGGGCTGGGCTGCCAGTGGGTCTGCATCTCGTGCCTCAGTTTCCCCAGCCGCCGAGCAGGGCTGCGGCTGTCAGGGTTTTGGGGGGGCACCTCCCTCGTTCGGTTCAGCGGTGCCCATCGTTAACCACTGGGGTTTTTTTCCAATTTTTCCCCTATTGCCTCAGCCCAAATCGAAGTGATCCCGTGCAAGATCTGCGGAGACAAGTCCTCGGGGATCCACTACGGCGTTATCACCTGCGAAGGCTGCAAGGTGAGGCCAGGGACACCTGGGGAGGGGTGACGGCTGGGGAAGGGGGGTGGATGGCTG